TACTGAGCATCTATCTCACAAGGATTTCAAAGCTACTTTCTAAGAAAGTGTTTATTTTTAAAAGATTTAAACTTTTCAATTTTAAGATAATTACAGATTCATGTGTATTTCTAAAAAACAATACAGAGAGATCCCACATACCCTTTACCCAGTTTCCCAAAATGGTAATATCTAGCATAGCTCTAACGCAACTTCATAACCAAGAAATTGACAATGATAACAATCCACTGATCTTATTCAGATTTCACCAGTTTTACATGCACTCAGTTGTTTGTGCCTATCTACTAATAATTAGTTCTATGCAATTTTATTCTATGTGTAATCACTACCACACTTAAGACATAGAATAGTCTATCACTGTAAGAATCTCTTTAAAATATCTTTTATTTTATAAATCCAAATATTCTATTACCATAGAAGTCTTAAAGTTCTTCACCCAGATCTAAGCCTCTTGACTAAAGGCTCCAGTTATGCCCACATTGTAAGAAACAAACTTGAGTGACACATGTTTATTCTTGCCATTCATGTCACTTAAATGATAAATATAGCTATGTAGAAAAATGCAAAAGAAAGTGTACATAAAGAACACAAAACTTGTATTATGATCACACATTTGTTTAAAATCTACATCTAGGAATATGTATACATAAATAGTTTGGGAGGTAATGGTGGAAATACAGAAATTTAAATATGGAATGTACTAGACAGGTGGGATTTAAGTTTTTTTTTTCCCTCTTACAAGATGTTTAAAGTTGATATAAGTAGTTAAACACCTGACTAGATTCCTGATGATATCAGAGAGGACTGAGGATCTAGATACATGCTCAGAGTACTTCTTGCGGCTGACAGCCCACCCCTATAAGTCTAGATGTCCAGATAGAGACAAATCTTCCTCCTCTGCATCCCAGTGATTGACCTCAAGAAGGGAAAGAACAAAAGCAGGGCCAAGAAGAGATGTAGAATTAGAGTGGCCAACTGTCTTGGTCTACTGAGGGCTGAGCTGTTTCCCAGACTGTGGCACTTTCAATGCTAAAACCAGGAAGTACTGGGACGAGTTGGTCGCCCTGTCCAGAAGGTTGCTATCTATATATCCTTGGAGTTTGAAGCAACTAAGCAAATCTTTTGTTTTTGTTATTGAGGTTCAGAACCTGGGGGTGGGGAATTATGGAGGGATAATTTAGAAGAGTGTAAGGTGACCACGACACTTTCTGAACACTTGAGCATCCCTCTTCCTTTAGCGTACAAAGAAGTTGCCATCACTGAGTTAAGCAACCTGACTTTGAGTTTCACAAAAATGTAATGGAAAGTAATTCTGGCAGATACACATATTTTAAAGACTAGGCTCAAACAGGTTACAGAGGGAAAAAAAGAAGAAGAAAAGATTACCTGTCAAATAAGAGAAAAGCATTTAACCTCAAAGAGTAGGTGGAATACCAATGCACTGAGCAATTTTATAAATTGGGCACTTCGGCTTTTAAAGCAGCACAATACTTCCTGTAATTTCTAAATTGAGTTACCTGTCCATCCATGAAAAAAGTCTGACTTATGTGCATTTTTCTTAGAGCTGGTTAAAATGAGAGACGGCCATCCCAGCCTATCCCACACAGCTACCCACCTGTGAGAGGTATGCAGAAAGACCAGAACACAGGTGTGGGCCCAAAGAAGCCACCAATTTTATGCCACATAGAAACAAGTCACCGCTCAAGGGCTAAACATATGCAAGGCACTGTGCTAGGCACAAGCAGACATAGATTTTACTTGTAAGAAATGCACAGGCTATATGCCAGGCATGGTGGTTCATACCTGTATAATCCTAGCACTCTGGGAGGCCAAGGTGGGAGAATCACAGGAGTTTGAGACCAGCCTGAGCAAGAACAAGACCCCATCTCTACCAAAAATAGAAAAAATTAGCCTCTACCAAAAATTAAAAAAAAAAAATTAGCTGGGCGTAGTGGCGAGCCTGAGTCTCAGTTGCTCAGGAGGCTGAGCCAGAAGGATCACTTGAGCCCAGGAGTTTGAGGTTACGGTGAGCCGTGATGATATCACAGCACTCTATCCAGGGTAACAGAGTAAGACTGTCTCAAAAAAAACAGAAAAAAAGAAATGCAAAGGCTCATCACAACGGACAGATAGGCAGTTCTTTTCTAAGAGACACAGTCTCAAAACAAGGAGCTCTACAAAGGTTTCTAACACCATTTACTCAACACCTTAAAACCATTGTCAGTAAAATTCTACGGGAACTTGGGCAAGGAAGCCAGGCCCTCAACATACAAACCTGGCCCTAACCCTGTCCTTCTCCTTTAGAGTCTTATTCCATCTGCTCTTGCCTCTCTCCTGAATTTTCTTTCTTTCTTTTTTTTTTTTAAGACAGTCTCACTCTGTTGCCCAGGCCAGAGGTCATCAGCCTAGCTCACAGCAACCTCAAATTCCTGGGCTCAAGCTATACTCCTGCCTCAGCCTCCCAAGTAGCTGTGACTACAGGCATGCGCCACCATCCCCGGCTAATTTTTTCTATATATTTTTAGTTGACCAATTAATTTCTTTCTACTTTTAGTAGAGACAGGGTCTCGCTCTTACTCAGGCTGGATTTGAACTCCTGACCTTGAGTGATCCACCTGCCTTGGCCTCCCAGAGTGCTAGGATTACAGGTGTGAGCCACTGCATCCGGCCCTGAATTTTCAACTTACCTCTACTATTGAACTCTACCTTCAACATGTAAACACATTCAAATCTCTTCTGCCCCCAACTCTGCCCAAAATACCACCCTGTCTTTTCACTGTGTCTTTCTTAGGGTTGCTAGATTTAGCAATTAAAAATAAAGAATGCTCATTTAAACCTCAACTTCATTTAGATAAATAATGAAATTCTTTTAATATATGAACATTCCATGTATTATTTGGGACATATACACACACAAAATAAATTATTTATTGAACACTCAGCAAACTAGGAATAAAAAGGAACTTCCTCAACATGATAAAGGGTTTAGGAAAAACCCATAGCTAACATCATACTCAATGATGCAAGACTGAAAGCATTCCCATAAGATCAGGAACAAGACAAGGAGGCCTACTTTCACTGCTTGTATTCATTATCTTACTAGAAGTTATAGCCAGAGTAATTAGACAAGAAAAAAAAATTAAAAGAAATCCAAAGTGGAAAGAAAGATGTAAAATTATCTCTGTTATCATATGACATGATCCTATCTAGAGAAAATCCTAAAGAATCTACATAACAACAAAAAACTATCAGAGCTAAAAAATGAGTTAAGCAAAATAGCAGATTAAATCAATTATATTTCCATCCACTCACAATGGACAACTCATAAAAGAAATTTTAAAAACAACTCCATTTACTACAGAATAAAAAAGAATAAAATACTTAGGAATAAATTTAACTAAGAAGGTATAAGACTTATATACTGAAAACAACAAGTTCTCTGGGAGGCCAAGGCGGGTGGATTGTTCAAGGTCAGGAGTTCGAAACCAGCCTGAGCAAGAGGAAGACCCTGCCTCTACTATATATAGAAAGAAATTAATTGGCCAACTAATATATATAGAAAAAATTAGCTGGGCATGGTGGCGCATGCCTGTAGTCTCAGCTACTTAGGAGGCTGAGGCAGGAGGATTGCTTGAGCCCAGGAGTTTGAGGTTGCTGTGAGCTATACCGATGCCACAGCACTCACTCTAGCCTGGGCAACAAAGTGAAACTCTGTCTCAAAAAAAACAAAACAAAACAAAAAAAACCACTGCTGAAAAAAGTTAAAGATCTAAATGAATGGGAAGATATCCCATGTTTATGGATTAGAAGACCTAATATTGTAAAAACAGCAATATTCCCCAAAGCAAACTACAGATTCAGTACAGTCTCTATCAAAATCCCAATGGCTTTTCTTGCAGAACTGGACACACTGATCCTAAAATTCATAGAGAATTGCAAGGACCCTGAATAGCCAAAGCAATCTTGAAAAATAGTTAAGTTGGAAGATTCAAACTTCCCCATTTCAAAACTTACTACATAGCTATGATAACCAAAAGAATGTGGTATTGGCATAAGAACAGACATACAGATCAATGGAACAGAACTGAGAATCCAGAAATAGATCCACACATCTATGGTCAATTGATTTTTGACATGGGTGCTAAGACCATTTAATGGGGAAAGAAGATTCTCTTCAACAAATGGTGCTGGGACAACTAGATATCCACACACAAAAGAATGAAGTTGGACTCTTCCCTCATGCCATATATAAAAATTAATTCAATGTGGATCAGAGACCTAAATATAACCTAGACCTAAACTATAAACCTCACAGAAGAAAAAATAAGGGTAAATGTTCATGACCTTAATTTGGCAATGGTTTCTTAGATATCACATCAAAAGCACAAGCAACAAAAAAAGTAAATTGGACTTTATCAAAATTAAAAACTGAAAGTGAAAAGACAACCCACTGAATAGGAGAAACTATCTGCAAATCATATACACTAGTATCTGATAAAAGATTAACATCTAGAATATGTAAGAACTCTTAAACAACTCAGCAACATAAAGACAAACAACCCAATTTAAAAAATGGCCAAGGACTTGAACAGATATTTCTCCAAAGAAGATATACAAATGGCTAACAAGTACATGAAAAGTTGTTAATTATTAGTTAGTCACTAGCAAAGTGCAAATCAAAACTACAATAAGATACTACTTCACACCTACTATGATGGCCATAATAAAAAATAAGGGGGAAGAGCAGCCCCTGGAGCCTGGGGGTGGTAGTGGACAAAGCCCTGGGCAGAGAGCAGTTCGCCCTGCTGCTGGGGCTCCCTCAGAAAATCACATCATAAAGAGATATGGAACTCATACCTATTGAACATCTACTATGTGTCTGAAATTGCTCTGGACAGTTGGTGTTTGCCTTCCTTTGAATCTTCTCAACAACTATGCAAGAAGCCCTTGTCCCTAGCAAAGTGTAAATGCAATGACCCTGAGGAGAAGGAGCCACTTGCCTGTGTGTCAGCCTGTGTCCTCCTCTGACTCTGAGATGTTCAGCAGTGATGATGAGTGGACACTGAAGAGCTTTAAAAAGAAGAAAGGAAAAGCCAGAAACATACAGAAGAAAAGACCTATGAAGAAACAGGTCAACAAAACTGCTTCCCTGAGTGATTTGGACAGATCCCATGAGGGTGAAATAACAGTCTGACAGTAACAGCTTCTCCTGCAGCTCAGAATCAGACTCTTCCTTGGTGTACAAAGAGTTCTGTAATGGTCTTGGAGATGAGGTCAGTGCCCATTTGGCTCCAATGACAGAGAAGGACAGAGAATCAGAATCATCTGGCCAAATACAGAAGAGGGAGATACTGCAGAGAACATCAACCTCAGATGGTGCCACAGAAAATGGCATCTCCCAGGAGCCCCAGTGCGTGTCTCCACTGCCACCTCCTGCCTCCACTGGACCCACACCAGGACTATTAGAGGTTCAGGAATGAAATGTTCCCCTAAGATTCCCACCTAGTGGTGAAACCACCTGCCACTGTTTTACAGTAAAAATTTCAATGAGCTCCTTAATATACCCATCTCATCTCTCATATGTACCATGGTGACATCTCAAGCTATTTTCACTGGCTTTCTATACATTTATACATTAAATGTTTTCGATAAATGAAAAATAAGCTCAAAAAAATAAAATTAAAATAACGAGTAATAGCAAAGATGTGGAAAAACTGAAACCCTAGTATACTGCTGGTAGGAAATGTAAAATGGTGCAGCCATTTGACATTTCCTCAGTAAGTTTGACAGTTCCTCAATAAGTTAAACATAGAGGCTGGGCATGGTGGCTCATGCCTGTAATCCTAGCACTCTGGGGGCCAAGGCGGGAGAATTGCTTGAGCTTAGGAGTTTGAGACCAGCCTAAGCAAGAGTGAGACCCCATCTCTACAAAAAAACAGAAAAATTAGCCAGGTGTGGTGGTACACATCTGTAGTCCTAGTTACTTGGGATGCTGAGGCATGAGGATAGCTTGAGCTTAGGAGTGTGAGGTGGCAGTGAGATGTGATAATGCCACTAGATTCTACCCAGGGCAATAGAACAATACTCTGTTTCAAAACAAACAAACAAACAAATACAAACCACAGAATTATCATGTGACCCCGAAATTTCACTCCCAGGTATATATTAAAAGTACTGAGGCCAGGTGCAGTGGCTCATGCCCGTAATCCTAGCACTCTGGGAGGCCGAGGCGGGAGGATCACTCAAGGTCAGGAGTTCGAAACCAGTCTGAATAAGAGCGAGACCCCGTCTCTACTATAAATAGAAAGACATTAATTGGTCAACTAAAAATATATAGAAAAAATTAGCTGGACATGGTGGCACATGCCTGTAGTCCCTGCTACTCGGGAAGCTGAGGCAGAAGGATTGCTTGAGGCCAGGAGTTGGAGGTTGCTGTGAGCTAGGCTGATGCCATGGCACTCACTCTAGCCTGGGCAACAAACCGAGACTGTGTCTCACAAAAAAAAAAAAAAAAAAGATATTGTCACAGATCTCAAGTGTTTACAAGTTACTTGTATTATGTTACTTACATATATACAATTTCCTTATATTTGTGGCTGTAATATAATACAAACCTGAATTGGCCAAACCTGAAACCTACTGGACTTCCTAATATGACAGGTAACATGTTTCCTTCTTGTCTGAGCTACTTGCCATAAAAAGCACTCTGCCTAATTGTCAAACTTGTAAACTACTGCCCCAATAGTCACTTAGATAACTCGATTCTTCTATGTCCAATTTTAAGAAAAAAATATGGAGGGGGTCTTGGAGGGAATTTATGCAAGAGGAGTAGAAATGTGGAAGAAGAGGCTAAGAGAAAAATAGTAAGTTCACTACTTCTGAAATGGTTCCTTTTCTTTTTTTTTTTTTTTTTTGAGACAGAGTCTTACTTTGTTGCCCAGACTAAAGTGAGTGCCGTGGTGTCAGTCTAGCTCACAGCAACCTCAATCTCCTGGGCTCAAGCGATCCTACTGCCTCAGCCTCCCAAGTAGCTGGGACTACAGGCATGTGCCACCATACCCGGCTAATATTTTGGTTTTTTGTATATATATTTTTAGTTGGTCAATTAATTTCTTTCTATTTATAGTAGAGACGAAGTCTCGCTCTTGCTCAGGCTGGTTTCGAACTCCTGATCTTGAGCAATCCACCCGCCTCGGCCTCCCAGAGTGCTAGGATTACAAGCATGAGTCACCTCACCCAGCCTGAAATGGTTCTTTAAATCAGGAAAAACCAGCAACTAAGATCAACTGAATCTAAACAAGAATGAGGATTTGAATTTCAACGGGCATGAAGACGCACAGAGGGAAAATCCTAAAATATAAGTAAAGCTATAGGAGATTCTTTTTTTTTTTTGAGACAGAGTCTCACTTTGTTGCCCAGGCTAGAGTGCCATGGTGTCAGCCTAGCTCACAGCAACCTCAAACTCCTGGGCTCAAGCAATCCTTCTGTCTCAGCCTCCCATGTAGCTGGGACTACAGGCATGTGCCACCATGCTTGGCTAATTTTTTCTATATATTTTTAACTGTCCAATTAACTTCTTTCTTTTGTAGAGATAGGGTCTCGCTCTTGCTCAGGCTGGTCTCGAACTCCTGAGCTCAAATGATCCACCTGCCTCAGCCTCCCAGAGTGCTAGGATTACAGGCGTGAGTCACCACGCCCGGCCAGGAGATTCTTATTTTAAAACAAGGTATATGAAAACAACTTTTTAAAAAATTGACTTTATACAACGTCTGACTACACTTTTATCCTAAAAACTCAAAATAACTGTGACGTAAGGCTGGTAAGCAGAGGGAAAAAAAATGCAATAAGACTTACTTGACTATAGGACATTTTAAGATGTTTATTATTTACTAGAAGTAATATGCACAAATTAGCGGCAACTTGTATAACCCAATGAGCTTATAATTAATTCACAGTAACATACATTAGCTCCAATCTGCCACAGCCACGAACACAACCAAGTCTCCTACACAGATGATTTTATTACCAAACTTTCATTCTGGCTTTTATAATTGTTTCGCAATTATAAAAATTATGAAATTTTTATAAAATTCCATGTTTCCCCAAAAATAAGACAGGGTCTTATATTTATTTTTCCTCAACAAGACACTCTAGGGCTTATTTTCAGGGGATGTGTTATTTTTTTAAGTATGGTACAACAATCTACATTTATTCAAATATAGTTAAGTCGTCTTCTTCTGGAACATCATCATAACTCTCCAAACCCTGAATTCCATCCTGAATTTCTTGTGACTCTATTTCCTTTAGAACCATTGGCCCCAATCTCTCATGTTGAGCAATAGAGCTCTCATGGGGCAGATGAAAAGGACTGCTCATCTTCTTTACCGCTCCACAACGAAATGCAAGGGTTGTGCAGATACACTGCGTAGCCACGCCCATCACTAGGTCTGATTTTCAGGGTAGGGCTTATATTGCACAAATGCAATCCTGCGAGGGCTTATTTTATGAGTAGGTCTTATTTTCCTAGAAACACAGTAGTAACCATCTACTCCTACACCTTTTGAGTAGAAATGCCCCTGAAGGCTGTTCAGAGAGCAGAGGTGAATACTTTCTCATGGAGGAATGCTAGCTTTTCTAAGCGAGTTCGTTTTAGTAGTGGGAGCCATTCCCAGTGGGCTAACTCTACCACTCGATAGCCAAGCTGAACCAGCTGCCGTCTCTTCATATTATGCAGTCCAAGCAGATTCCTGGAACCATAGCAATATTGGTTCTTATTTGTCATTTGAATGGCCAGCTTCACTGCTGGGGCCTGTATGCTGCCTGAGGGGCACAGTCCAGCCATCTCCATGGACCCAGACCAATCTGCCACATTGCAAAGAGAGCCCCCCAAGGGTCTGGCTGTCTTATTCTGTAATTCCATGGGTTGTTGCCCAGTCTCTGACTCAATTTCCCCCTGAGAATGTCCTCTTGCTTTCCCTTTTAGTAACCGATTCATCAAATCATCTGTAAGGCTGACTCCCTCATGCTTAAGTCTTAATTTGGCTATGTTTTCAGCTGGTGTGACTTCTCTATTAAATGGTAATGGCTTCATGTTAACATCAAGCTGGACTTCTAAGTCAGAAGATCGGGTATGAGGTAAAATCATATGGTACTTGATGTACTGGGGCCCACCCAACATGGTTTCAAGTAAAAACAGAATTTCTAGGAATTCAGGCTTTGAGTTCATATCCTTCCTTGCTAAATCCCACAGCATGTCAGACCCCACTTGCTGCAGGTGAGAACAAAGACGATTACCTCTGTAATCTGGACACTCAATGCCAACTGTACCATCAAGAGTATATAGTTCCTTAGTGAGTTCAAACTTGCTGTTCTCCTGAGCTAACCTGACAAACCCTGGACTCAGAGCAAAATTGATTAATTCTATTGGAAAGTACTCAGAAAATGCCAGACCCAGCAGGCAGGTGAGTAGGTGTTCTGGGTATTGGCTGAATTCAGGCATCTTTCTGTGTATCTCATTTATCAGGCTGGAATAAAATTCTTCTGCATTGGGTGGCTTATAATTCAGAGTTCCAAATGACCACAGAATCTTGGCAACATCTTTACTTCGACAGTGTGCTACTCTAGGAGGCAACGTAGCAGCCACAGCATTCATTAATCCTTCATCCAGAAAGCGTAAGGCCGAGCAGGCAAGAGTCAGGTGCATGACACCCTGAACTCCCAGGGAAGGAATGCGCTGAGGAGCAATCTCTCCAAACTGCTTCATGAAATTTATGTGATCCACATGAGTGAAACGGAACATTTTAAGAATATTCACTAAGGCATGACTACTTAGATGTTGCATGTCAGCACAAGCTAAGTCTCCAATTTTTCGCATGACAAATTCAGAGAGACTACTACTTGATTTAAAGAATCCCAAACAGATTGTACCAACCTCCTCCAAATTGATTGAATCTATATATTTAAGAATCAATGATTCCAGTTTTTGCATTAGGTCCTCGGGTACCTGACGATTTTCACCTATAATATAAATTAAGTGAACCAGCTGGGTCAAGGATAGATCTTTCCAGTGCAAATTAAGATAACTAAAAAAGATTTTTAAAAACCGAGATACTCTATGGCCTAAGTACCGCCAGAGATCAGCTACCAACAGAAGCTGATCCAGACTCATCTCCCATACCTGATGGCAAAATTTGGTTTCATATACAGCTAGCATTGAATGGGAGTGAGGGATCCCTAAACTGACAAAGGCTTTCAAAATATTGATCAGATCTGGGGTATCAAAGAACTGTATGTTTTTCACACTCAGCTGGCAGAGCAAAGCAAAGCTGGTACTGGAGAGCAAACCAGGATGCTGTTCTGCAGGCAGAGAGCTCAGCTTACAGAAATAATCAGCAATGGTTTGAGGCTGGAGATTATTTTCATAAACTCTGACTTTGTGCAAAATTAGTTCACCTTCTGAAACAGAAAGGGGCTGACAGGTCTCAGATCTGTGATAGCTGTGAAGCTGGTACTCTGGTCTTAGCTGTAGGAAAACTCGGCGGTCTTCAAGGGTATCAAAAACTTCTACATCCTCTTCATAAACTCTTATGGCTCTGGGTGAGCCCTGCTGCAACGTGCTGGCTTTAGAGGTAGAGGCCTTGTCGAATTCCAAACCCAGAAGGGCACTTCTGGTTGTGAAGGTCTTCTTAGAAAAGGACGTGCTATAAACATTCTTAACTTTTTTTGCAGAATGGCAGGGACTACCATGTTCTGGAGGGTCCTGTCCCCCATGCTGTGTGCTGCTTCTCATATTCCAATACACCACACGTT